TGTAGTATTAGTTTCCCCATACTGCAGGTAGAGCACTGAAAGTCTTACCAGTTTAAGTAGGGAAAACAAATTCAAGAGCACTTGGTTTTGGTGTGAAAATCTCTGAGCTGTTTGTGGAGTGTGACAGCTGTAAATGGTGCAAGGCAGCCTAAAACTGCTCATTAAAAAGGCAAAGAAACAAAGATGAGTATCTGTGTGCAAACTGCTGGTTATGTGTTGGCTTATGTTTTCTTTCACTTGAAGTATGGGTCATTGAGAAGGAGCTTTGCATGCCTCCTTTGATCGTCTGAGAAGCTTTTCTAGCCAGTCTTTTTGTGTAGAGTACAGCAATTTAGCAGATGAGGAACTAAGTAGCCATCAAGAGGTGTAGCTGAAAAGCCTGCTGGTTTGGGGGTACACTCCATGAGAAAAGCAGTCTCCCCTGATAAAGATCAATGAAAATTAAAAGCTGGATAATTATTAAATACCTGTTTCTAATATTCTTTCCAGAAAATAATGCTAAGCTTCCATGAAGAACAAGAAGTATTGCCAGAATCGTTCCTTGCTAACTTCCCATCTTTGATAAAGATTGATATCCACAAAAAAGTGACAGATCCAAGTGTGGCCAAAAGTATGATGGCCTGCCTGCTCTCTTCTCTAAAGGCTAATGGTAAGTTTCTTGCACTTAGAATTCCTTTTTTTCCTAACTGCATGTCATTTCTAGGGTGCCAGGCAAACTTGGGAAGATGCGGGTAAATAAAAGCTTTTTTTTACAAAAGCTTTTGAACAGCTGACTTCTGCTGCTGCCTTGAAAAGGGGAGCTTTTCATTTTAGCTATTATCCTGCAAATTAGAAGATAGGCAGAACTGAGGGAGCAATTTGGCACTGAGAGCACACATCTTTACATCTTGAACACTGCCCAAAAGTCTATATTTTTCCTGCTGGCATTGGCAATGATGCTTTTTTTAAAGTTTGGCTGTGTGCACTGGTGGGTAATTACCAAACCTTCAGTATGGGAAGCGCTTGGCTGCCTGCCCTGACTGTGCACCTCACACTCACACTTCCTTTGTGCCACTTGGTGCCCTCCTGCAATGCTGTTTTTGGAGCCAACATCAGGTATTTTTGTGTGCAGTGAAAGGTGTGCAGAGGGTTTGTTAAGACTGATGGATGCCTGCAGTGTGTAGTGCTGTTAGGGATGGTCAGCTGTGCTGCCATAAATCTGGACTCTTGGGCACTATGCTCCGTGTGGGATTGGATCACTGATTTACCTCATAAAATTGGTGGGAACTCTAGTAATATTTGATGTCTGTGCTTTGTATGGTAACTCTTCTCCTACAGTATTTTGTTTCTTTTCTTTCTTCTTCAGGCTCCCGTGGGGCTTTTTGTGAAGTGAGACCAGATGATAAAAGAATCTTGGAATTTTACAGCAAGCTGGGTTGTTTTGAAATTGCTAAAATGGAAGGATTTCCAAAGGATGTTGTTATCCTTGGAAGAAGCCTTTGAAGTGCTTGACGGTGAACTGTTCCAGTACTGTAGACCCTTAACAGCTGGGCAGGTAGTGGTGGGGATCTTCATATGGTCTAACTGCACAAAGCCAGCAATAAGCCAGCTTGGTAAAAGGGGCTATGCGAAAATCACCCATCACACATTCAGACTGTCATTTGTTGGAAGGGGATAATGCTGCTGAAAACATTGTTAAACAAAGAGAAACCCTGTCCTCTCCTGGTCCTGTGTGAAGTGCCAAGGAATCTTGCATGGGCTATAGCTTCTCAGAGGAATCCCTCTCAGTCGGTGCTGTGGTTGATGACAGTTCTCTGTGTTCAAGTGTCAACAGAAAATTGGTCTCTGGCAGAATGCCTATAAAGATGCAGGTTTTGTTCTCTGTCATAGAGCAGGATGTGCAATTGCAAGTTGCAGAAATCGGAGGGGTTGCTTGTGTCAATCAGCATTTTTAAAGATAAGTAGTTACAGTTCTATTTTTTACTACCTTTATGCTTGTTGATAAAGCAATGACCCGTTGTCACTTCTAATGACCATTGGTTCAAGCTTTTTGTTTTGTTAGGGACAAATGTGCAGTGGTCTGTGGCAGAAGTCACTCAATGACAAACTTGTAAATCTCAGTGTATATAGACCTAGATGTATGCTGACTAACTTTTTGTTTACTGGTTTTTGTAACTTTTTCTTTTGAAAAGTGAAATGGTATAGGTCCAAGATGGCACTTTTGAAAAACCTAAAACCACAATCGAGAACAAGTCTGTCCTCAGCACTGACCTTTCTTACTGTGCCTCATATCCAGGGCTAGGTACTGACCATCTTGGGAAAGGGGAGCAGATCCCAACTGACCCTTCCTTCAGATAGCAGTTTGTCACTGCTCGAGGGTATCATTCTCCTGGGACTGAAACAGCAATTCACAGGATGCTTTGCTGAACCCGTTAATTTTGGTAATGTTCACATGGGATTATGGATGAAAGATGGTGAGAGGGAGAGAGAGCTGGCCCACAGCTGGGATTTGTCCTTGGAAGAGTCACCATGTTTCAAAGCCTGTTCGTACTAGTTTGATTAAATCAGGGTCTTCAAGTCCTGCACATTTGTATCAAAAAACTTTTCTATAAGAAATGCCACAATAAGCACATTTTTACACATTATTTAAATGGTTATCTACTTTTAAATGTTCCAAGAGTTTAATGTTTTTACCCAGGATGGACATGCTTGGTGATGGGATGGAACTGGCTTCGTATGGGACCTGGTATTCAGGTAGTTGGATCATTTAATGGAAATGGTACTTGGCAGTAGTCCCAGTGTCCCAGACAGGTGATTGGACAATGGTATGCACTTTGCAGTACTTTGTTTCTTCCACCTGCTGCCATAAGCTGTCTATATCTTACGTTTAAATTTTCCTGGGGTTTTTTCAGTGGTGCACAAAGGAAGCTTGGTTGCTCTTACAAGCCTCCAGCTGCATAGAAGTTGATTTGCAACCTGTAATGAATGGCATTAAGATTGCAGTAACGCTCTCTGCAACCTGTAAGGAGATGCTGTGTTTGGCCTTCTGGTGCAGTCATGTGCAAGATGTTTCTTTTTTTTTTTTTTTTCTGCAGAATGTGAATGATTTTTAATGCGGTAGCAAAGTATTTAAGTTGAAACAAGTTCATTTCATTTTTAGAGAGAGGTATGGGGTTGTGCTGTGGGATTTCATTAAGTCCAAGCTGAATGCCACTAGTTTTTATACAGCTTTGAGTGCATGTTGAGTAGCTGATAACCTTGATTTACCAGGTGGGAGAGTTTTGTTTCTTCATGGATACCAGACTCGACTTACTTCATCTGGATGCATAACATTACAGCATAGGATGCTTGTGGCCTTATTTCTTGGCTTTTAAGGAGTTGCCACATTTTCTCTTCCTATGAATTTGTTATTATTATAGAAGTTAATTGTCTAAGCCTATGGAATGTCAGGCCAATACCATCATTCTAGGATTGTAAAGTGATATGTTGACATATCTTTCATGGTTATGAATTTTCATTAAGGTTGGAATGCCACTTTCATTAATCTGTTTTAGATCAACAGTATCTGTAGCAGAAAAAGACCTGTAAAACTGTATTTGAAGACCATGCGAGAAATAGAATAAAAATTGAGAAGTGAATGTAAATAAATGTGTATTTTGTGTATGAGCTGGTCCAGAACCAGAAGTGGTTCAGCAATGTACATTACATCACACTGTAAGTGTTTGATGCCCTTGGGATCAGCTGTCAGAGACTTGTGACTGGTTTTGGTGTTGGCAGCTGCACATCCACACAATTTAACTTGGGAAGATAAATACTGAGATGCCTAAAGCAAGTAGCTTCCTGCTTAGAGTAACAGCTAATAATCAAAGGGGTATGAAAAGCAGCTCTTTCCTAAGGCCATTTCACAAGAGTTTGTCCACCTGCTGCACGGGTGCACTCACTGGTGGTGGCTCAGAAGCTGTGCAGTGTGGAGAACAGGATAACACACAAACCAAGCAGGGAAGTTATAAGGTGAAAACTTTTCTCCTGGCCCAGTAAATGTTCTCTGTTAAAACAAGTAATGTGTTGCACATAGTCACCTATGTTTTCTTAAAGCCTATTTCATGAGGTTATGACAGACTTGTCTCTGTACAGCACATGTGGGCCTGGGAAAAGGGATTGGGCTCTGATGTTGCCCCAGACTCTTTTCCTTTAAGGGAGCATAATGCAGAATGGAAGCTCCTGCCTCCATCGCTCCGGGGTGGTGGCTTCAGACGGGTCAGGTAGGGTCAGGTGGCTGCGCAGAGCAGCTGCTGAGAAGCACATGGGCGTGCTTGTGTAACTATTGCTGCACGAGCACTTGCTTCTTTCTGGGACCTGGTTCAGCTTTTCAAACCTTCAGTAAGGTTTTCCTTGAATCTACTCCAGCTCAAGCAAAGCAAGTAGTTGGCTAGCAGAGGTCTCTGCGGTAGGAGCAGAGCCACGTTTGTCCCCAGAAGGCAATGTGATCTCGTTGTTAGTGGGGTTTGTTTTAATTTGGTTGCTCCTCTGCAGCACCAAGCAGACTGCTTCCCTCTCTGCTTTGAAAGACCAGTCCAGCCCTCTCCTCCTTGCTGTAGATTTTGAAGTAGGATGTTGCCTTCTGTTCTCAAATGCTCCTGTGCCGCAGTCCCCCGTGTCAGGTCACGCTGCTGTTGCCCATGCTTAAAGGGATAGAGATGAAGAGCGCCCTCCCGCTACCTCCTGTTCCCCCGATACTCCTCTTCATACCCTCAGTCCCCTGGGGGGCTCTGCATGTGCCCTGTGTCTCCTCCCCAGTGCTGGGGGGCTGCTGCCGTGGGCCGGGATGGTGCCCAGAAGGGCGATAGATGAGCAGCGGTAGCAAGGGCCATTTTTCCGGTGTGGCGTTTCCACAGCTGGCGGTGGGGTCAGTAAATGCTGAAGGCCCAGGATGGCCAGGAAATACCCTGATACTGAGCTTTCCGGCGGGGCGCTGCCGCAGGACCCTTTGGTTCTGTCCCCGGGGGCGGGCACGGGGCGGAGCGGCTCAGCTCGGCTCGGCTCAGCACAGCGCTGCACGGCCCGCCCCGCTGCCAGAGCGATCCCAGCGCCGCCGCCTCATGGAGCCGCACGGGCCCGCCTGTCCCGGCAGCGTCCTCTTCGGTGAGCGGCCCCGGGCCAGGGGAGCGGGGACACGGGCCAGGGCGAGGGAGAGACACGGGGGGTCACAGATGAATTGGGGAGGTGACACACGAGGCGGGGGTGTGAGGACGAGAGAGAGCTGGGGGCAGGAGAGAGACGGGGCAGAAGGAGACTTTGGTGAGTATTGGGGACGGCGTGGAGGCTGCAAAGGCACGTGTGGGTGGGGGGGAACACGTGTGAGGGCAGCTGGAGCCGGGGGGCAGTGTCAGAGAGAGACCTGGGGCAGCAGAGACATTGTGGAGGAAGGAGGCCGGAGAGACACGTGGGTATGGAGACACACGTGGAGGGCATTATCGTGCCGTGGGGGAAGGACGCCGTGGAGACGCACGTGTTTGGCCGCGCTTGGGAGGCAGCAGGCACTGCTGGGGGTCCCGGGGCGGGTTGAGGGAGCCGCGTGGGGTTTTGGTGTTCTGGCGGCTTTAGAGGGCTGGGGTTCATGGGGCGGCGGGGTGGCAGCCCCGGCTCCCGCGGCCTCTCCCGCTCCTCCGGTTCACCCCCCGCGCTCCCCCGTCAGCGTGTCGTGGTCGCCCGTCGCAGGGCGGTGGGGCCGGGCCCCTCCTCCGGGAGGGGTTTGCCGGGCCAGGCGGGGCCCTGCGCTGCTCCCTCACCCGTGTGAGCCCGGGCCGGGCCGCGCGGCTCCGCGCACTGCGGGAGGAGCGCAGTTACAGCTCCCCAGGCCTCTCAGGCACCTGGGTTCGGCCCTCTCCTCGGTAAGTTCAATATATAAGCATGGGGGAAGAAAGCGGTGCTGCCCCGGGCTGCGCTTGTGAAGGCTGATTCCTCTCCCTTGGAAGTGCCGGCACTGGTATGCAGTGCTCAGCTCTGTGTTTTTCCGGTCAGCCTCACGTTGGTGAATCATCCTGTAATAAGTAAACGCACCCAGGGCAATTCAGTCCCTCCCTTTAGTCGGCTGAATCCTGATCCTAAGAGCTAAGAACGTAGTTATGCATCTCCCTTGTTTTTGTAATTGTCTGAGGTATTTAATAAAATATGTCTCAAAACTTCTCTTGAGGCACTCCAGCTCCCTGCAACTTGGACCCATCCTCCCCTTGGGTTGTGCCTCATCATTCAGGTCTGGCACTCTGTGGCTGTCTCTGCTTCCAGACTCCCATTCAAGAAAAAGTTGTACTGGTGATGGCATGAGCAGAGTCACTGTTTTGTCTGCTCCCTCCTGTTTCCCACCGTGGTGTGCCCTGACTGTTCTGCTCTCTGGAGGGGAAGAACCTTGCTGTGCCAGTGCTTGGGAACCTTGGGTGCCCATGGGCATTGCTTCATGGCAGCCTGCTTTGGGGACACCAGGTTTTGTCCCTGCATGGGGCAGAGGCAGGTGTGTGGTTTTCTGAGACCCTGGAGCCCAGGGTGCCCTGGTCTGATGCTGCTCCTCACATGAGAAAATAAAGAGTTTTAGGGTGTCATGTGCATGCCTGGCCAGGGCTGCCCCTCAGGACCCTTTACCTGTAGTGACTGTTGTTTTGTAATACTTGCTAGTGCTTTTTTAATCTCCTCCTTTTAGGCTGTGAGCTGACTGCCAGTACCAAATCCTACACATTTCAGGTGGATGAAGAAGACAACTCTGACCACATTTTAGCACTGTCTGTGGTAAGAAAAACTGTGCTTGTTCTCTCCTGTAGTTGCCCATATCCTTATGCCCATTTTCCAGGCTCATCCTCCTTTCTTGGCTGGGCTGGATCAGGGGACTCCCTTGGCTGAGGTCCCAGGACTGGCTGCTCTCAGGGCACGACACAGAGTGGTCACAATTATCCATCATACAGAGGTGCCTGTGCAAAGCCTCTAATGTCAGGAGACTGCTGAGTAGGGGAATGCTCCAGGCAGGTGGTGAAGAAAAAAAATTTCCCCAAGGTATCTGACCTTGCTGGTGCTTCACACCACATCCACACCAGCTGGGTCTCTGGCTTGGTGCTCCCCAAGCCCAGATAGGTGCAAGGCTTCATTCCTGGCTCTTCCTGGGGATATTTTCTATCCTGAGAGCACAGAGCCTGTCAGCACTGATCAGATCAGCAGAAAATGTAGCCTAGGTGCCTGCCATCCCTGTAGGTGACTGCAGTAACAGCTGTTGCAGCTGGGAGAGACACAGAGCCCTCTCTGGGGCAGTCAGCGGACATTTGCAGTGGGGTTGTTCAGTGCTCTCCCTGTTTTATGGAGCAGCATCCCCACACCTTACATGACATCTGGGCTGATAGCATTGCTATGGGTTCCTTGTCCTGTGGAGAGCTCCAGCTGTCCCAGATGTGTCCCTTGGAAGAGCATTTGTTCACAGTCTCCACTCCCACCCAGGTCTGCCTCACTGATGGTGCCAAGGACGAGTGCAACGTGGTGGAAGTCGTTGGGCGAAACCATGAGAACCAAGAGATCTCTGTGCCTGTGGCAAACCTGAAGTTGTCATGCCAGCCCTTGGTAAGAGGCTGATTTAAAAGACTCAGGGGTGGATGGCTGCAGGGAACAGGACAGCTCTGGAAGTTTGTGGATCCTGATCTAGGATCTGCAGCTCACAGGCAAATGCCCTGGGTACCCTTGGCCTGGCTGCAGGTGCCCTCAGATGGACATGTTGAACTGGGCCAGGTGCTGTACTGGGAGCTACAGGATATTCTGCTTTTTGCCTCTGTCCCTAACTCAGCTCCATCTCTGCTCTTTGCAGCTGAGTCTGGACAACTTCAAGCTGCAGCCTCCAGTGACCTTTCGGCTGGCAGCAGGCTCTGGCCCAGTGCACCTGGCTGGCTGGCACAGGATCAGTAAGGACTGAGGGGTGGGGAAAAGCTTGGCAGGACTGAGGGGGATAAAGGGGCTCCAGTCTCAACAACATCCAGGGAGCTGCTGGGAGATGCACTGGGTGCTACCTTTGTGCTGGTTCCCCAGGGGCCATCTCAGTGCAGGGATTCCTTCCCTACCATAAGGCCTTGCATGGGAAAAGGGGTCTGGATGTCTCAAACTGTCCCCTTTTTTCATGTCTGCCTGTCACCATTCCCCTTTGAGACCTCCCTCCAGCTGGGATGCTGCTTATTTCCCACTGTTAGCTGCTGTGAAAGCTGCTTCAGAGCTCCTTGGGCTGCTCTGCTCCTGGGGTGTCTCGTGAGCCAGCTGTATTTGCACAGACGTGTATTGGTGAGTAACAATTACCTGTGTGTGTCCCAGTGCACAGGGAAGATGTTTCCTTTGAGGAGGATGATGACTTATCTGAGGAGGATGAGGAAGACCTTCCTCCTATTATGCCAGCGAAGAAGTAGGAGGAGGAAGGAGTAACTTGTCTCCAGGCAAGGTGAGGGGCCAGGCTGCCTTGGAGGAAGGATCTGGGTGGCTGTAATATGGTGTGGCAAGTGTGGGTGGAATGTGCTGCTCAAGTCTGCTGATCTGACCCTGGTTCTTCCCCTAGGTACTCACTGGAACTTCTCTCCCTGGATGGTTTTTACCTTGGATATTGGATACCTGTTGTCACGGCTTCAACATTTGCTGGTTTTTTTTTTTTTTTTTTTTTTTTTTTAATGCTGTTTTAACTAATTGGGGAGCAGAGGCTGCTCCTCGCACTGAGATGTCTCCTTTCACACAGCCCTGGGAGGGTGATCCCAAAACTGGAGGGATGCTGCTGGTATATCCCCTCTCCCTGATCCCTGTTCTGGGAGCTGGGGATGGAGGAGGTGATCCTTACCCTGTGCCTTTCTGCTGTCCTGGACCTCTGCTCTGTGCACCCCCTTTCCCTGGCTGTGAAACACTCAGTCCTGGCCCCTTGTCCAGCAGATGGGTGTAAAGCCAGTGTGGGACAGGCACTTTCACTGATTCTAATGTGTTTGCTTTTGCTTACTCACAGTTTGGTGGTTTTTATACTTGGAAGTGTAAAATGGGGCCCATGCTCTGTTCTCAGCTGCAGTTATGGTGAGGTGGGAGCTCACAGCCTCTGATTTGGGGGAGGTTCTGGGTCAATCTGCATTGTAAAGAACTGTTCTTACACTCAATAAAGATCTCTCAGGCATCAGGTCTGAAGAAAGGTCCCTACTGGCTGCAGGTTCTTCCCATGCACGCTTCAGTGGGGCAAGTCTGAGCTGTGCCCTTTGCTGAGGAGTTGTGTCCCCCTGCCTGGGTACCTGGAGAGGGTTTGATCCTTTCTGCACTTCAGCCAGGTGGCATTTCTCACCCATGGTGGCTGGTTCTGCCCTTAAATGTTTCTCTGGCAGTTTGTCTGCAGTCAGTCTTGCATTCTTGGCCCATGTGTCAATGCTGTCCTCCTTGCCTGAGACACTGGCTGTTGTCCCTGAGAAGCACCATGGACTGTTCCGTCATGCTGGCTCTGTGCGTGCCCTGGGACAGTGAATTTCTCAGTAGCCTGGACTCATGTAGGAAATCCAGGGTGGATCCTCAGCTCAGGCTGTTTTCTAGATTATGTTTCTCTCCTCTGGAACCTTTGCACCTGTTCACTGTTTCTTTCTGGCCCCAAACAGACCTTGCTTAGCTCTCAGAATGAGGCTTCAAAGCCCCGAGCAGCAAAGGGAAAAGGACTTAAGAAGAGCTGGCTCTGGGGAGATCTTCCTGTGGCATTTCAGTGCTCAAAGGGAGCTTGTAAGAAATATGGGGACAGATGTTTTAGCAAGGCCTGTTGAGGTGGGACAAGGGGTAATAATTTTAAACTGAAAGGGTTTATTTAAATCAAATATAAGGAAGAAGGGCTTTTTACCACCCTTGAGGGAGGTAAAACAATGGCACAGATTCCCCAGAGAAGTGGTAGATGCCCCATCCCCAAAAACATTCAAGATCAGGTTGAGCAGAGCTCTGAGCAACCTGATCTAGTTAAAGATGTCCCTGTCCGTGGCAGGGGGGTTAGAATATATGGCCTTTAAAAGTCCCAACCCAAAAAATTCCATGTCTCCAAGACCGCTGGCATCCCAGCTCCGGGGAACGCGATCTCGGCTGCCTGGGGGGCACCAGCCGGCCCAGGGGAGCTGAAGCCCGGCAGCAGCGCGGGCGAGGGTGCGGGGGCCGGAGCGGCACCGCCAGGGGGCAGGCGGGCTCTGCGGGCCGCTCCGGGGCACCGCGACCGCCGCTCCCGCTCCGACCGCCCGGCCCGCGGGGGCTCTCCCCCGGCAGGGTGCACAGGGCATCCCGCCCTGCTGCTCCTCATCTCCCGTGAGAGGCCGGCTGTGGCTGGCAGGGCTCCTGTCCCTCCGCCATCCCGTGTGCCCGGGGCTGGCGCTCGGTGCCCGTGCCCACAGGCGCCACAGGATCTCTCGGCAAATCCCGTTGCCCTGGGAATGTCCTTAGTAGCGGGACATTCCTGCAGGTGGGTGAGGGGAGGCAGTAGCATCGCCCTGTGGGGCAGTGGATATTGGAGAGGTGTCGGTGGGCACACGCACCAGTGCCCTGTGCTGACGGCACGGGAGAGGAGTCCTGGGCTTTGGATGGAGCCGTGGCTGGGACAGTGCTGGGACAGTGCCCAGCCCCTGCCAGGGCTGGCACCCCATCACCTTGCAGATTTGCCTGGCTATGTGCACCTGGAAGGGGTCAGGGATAATCTGTCTGCCAGACCTTGACTGTGCTTGTGCTCCGCGGAAATGCAGCCTCCAGGGGAACGGGAGCCAGCAGACCATTTTTAACAAGGCACTCTTGGAAGGGAGGGTTGGGGTAGGCATCTGCTTCCCAGCCTGATGGGGAGCAATGAGTGGAGGGAATGGGCACTGCTTGATCCTGGAAGGGTGAACTGTTGCTTCACACAGAGTGGAAGAGGCTGTGTGGGCTAACGAGAGGGAACATTTGGCCTCTTCAACAGTAAAAGATTATTCTTCATCAGTAAAAGGAGATTATTTCAGGCTGCTGATGTGTATACTTCAGGGTGTCTAGGTAGCTGGAGCAGAGGCAGGCAGGACTGTCCTGGCAGGTGGCAAAAGTGGCACCATGGGGGACATGAGGGTGGTGGCAGGAGGCTTGAGGAGACAAAGCTTGTACACCCCACTGTAGGACCAGCTCAGCTCAAGACCTTTCCACAAGTGCTGGCTGGTCCCCAGTGCTGCTGTAGGGAATGCTGTGGGAATTGGGTGCCCTCAACCCAGAGGGAGCAATAGAGGGGCTGGGGCATGTTGGTACTGCCAAGCCCCTTTCTAAGTGACTTTGGGAGGTTTGCTTCCTGCTCCCCAGCAATGTCAGAGCCTTGATGTGCTCAGCTTGGGGAGAGGGAGATAAATGCTGAAATGTCAGGAGGCTGGGAGGGGGGATGCTCACACAGCACTTAATGGGGAAGGATGGGATTACAGGGGTCACGCTAGGTGAGCAGCTTCCTTGGTGGAGCTGATGGTATCAAAGCAGGTGCCCCCGGCTGCAAATACCTTGGGCAAACAAACAGGGCTGGCTAAGAGCAGGTGGGCTCGGGCATGGCTGGGCTGGGGGGCACTCAGTGCTGGTGGGGGGCAGGAGGCTTTCTGTGCACAGGGAGTGAGGCTGGGGCTCCTGGTGTGGGGCTGCCGTGTCTTCCACAGGGTGAGGGGTAATCCACTGGTTGTGTTTCTATGTACAGACGTGAGCTCCCCATGCTGGAGACACACCTAAGGGTGTGGAGGTGCCAGTACCTGGGGAGCCAAATGATGCCCCACTCCAGGTGGGTCCAGGATTGCTCTGGGAGTTGATTTGATCTGAGCATCCCTCCTCTCTGCTGCTTCAGGGCTCTGCATGCTGGTACAGCTGGCCATGGACCCCTCCCTGCTCTGGCAGCAGTGGGTAACCCTGCCCCTGGCTGAGCCACGCAGCAGAGAAATGGAGCTTCTTAATGTGGAGCTCATCCTGCATGAGGGTGGCTGTGCACCCATGGTGCCACACACTACAGCCCTCCCAAACCAGCCTGCTGCTCCTGGTGAGAGGCTCAGGCTGCTTGCTGCAGGGCCTGGCTCAGCTGCAGCCTTGCTAGGCTGGGGCTTGGCTGCCTCCTCCCTCTGGGTGGCTGGGCCAGGCCAGCAGCTCCCAGAGGATGCTCTGATTTCAGAGGTCAGGTCTGAGTTGCTATTTCAGGGATGGAGGAGCAGGATGGGGAGCTGCTCTGCTGAGCGTGGCCAGGAAGTGGTTTTCCTTTTGATGCCCCAGCGGGTCCTGCCCTATCAGAGTTCTGGCTGGGTTTCAACTCTTTGTGGCTTAGACCACGGCCCCAGGGCAGCTGAGCAGCACAGCTGTGACTGTGCTGTAGGTGGGGCTGGTCCCCTGCTCCATGAGCTCCCTGTTGCTGGTTCCCACGCTGATCCAGGGTAAAGCTCTTTTTCTCTGAGTCTTGGCTGCCTGGGCTTCGAAGGAAGCAAGGAGGACACCCCAGGAGATGCAGCATCCCATTATCCTGGGGTGCAGCAGCTCTGTGAAGGGGGCAGAGAGCCATGTGGCACCCTGGTGGCAGCAGGAGCCAGAAAAAGGGCCAGCAGAGCCACCTTTAGCTGGGACTGCCCTGATGGTGGGTGTGATGAGTGTCCTGTTCTCCAGAGTGTTAGCTGACTGTGCCATCCCTGCTCCATCCTGCTGCAGTGGGCACAGGTACCTCTGCTATTGCCTCAGGGAGCCAGGGCAGGCCTGGGTGGAGCTGAGCTGAGGACAGATTGCAAACAAGGGATGCAGCAGCAGGATCTGGAAGGGCCAGGCTGACAGTAATTCCCATCCTCTTCCCATCAATATGCCTTGCAAAGGAAAATGGTGCTGGTGCACTGTGTGGGAATGGCCTTCTCTGCTGGAAAAACTGAAGTTCAGGTCTGGTGTCATCTCCTGCATGCTGGTGCTCAGATACGTGCTGGGTCCTCCCCAGGCTGCCTCAAGTTTGCTGGGAGCTTGGATGTGTGGCTGTTCACCCACTGAGTGTTCTGTGGGAGGAGAAGAGGTTCCTCCTGCTCCCAGTTCCACAGCAGATGTCTGGACTCACACCCTGGCACAGGGGTTAGCTCATGCCCGGGGTGGTGGCAGGCTGTGATAATGTGATGTGGACTCATGTCCCCAGCCCCACAGTGCTGCCCGGAATGCAGGAGGGGGCCGATTCCATGAAGGTGCTGCTGTGGCTTTTTGTTGTGCACTAAGGGCACAGCTGGAGAAGCACGGGACAATGTTGGAGCAGGGGTTGTGTGAGTTTAAATTCACAGACACCCACAGACACGTAAAGCAGGTGCTAAAAGTGAGTGTGTTTGGGCCGTGGCAGAGAGCTCCATGCAGGGCAGCCTGGGTTGAGCCTCCCTGAGCTGTCCCACACTGTCCCCTCCCAAGCCCCTGCACAGCCACCTCACACCAGGGCAGTGCTGGCAGCTCTGTGCTCAGCACCTGCAGGTCTCCTGCCCTCGAGGTGCAATCTGACCACTCTGCTCTGGGCTGTCCCTGGCACTGGCACAGCTGCCACTACTGGCCACATGTCCCTGCCAGGCTGGTGGCATCCAGGGGAACGGGGCCTGCATGGAGCATCTGGGCTGTGTCCCAAGGAGATTTAGGATCTCTCAGAGTTTTTGTCTCAGGGATGT